CTTTTTCGCATATGCCTGTAACACTTTTATATACAAAGGGGTTTCTGTCTGTCTGTGAGTCACCGCCTTTTGATCTTTGTGTTGTTGTGTTACATACACTTTACGAGTATAAGCCGATAGCCCCTGTAGCAGATAATATTGTATCGCTTAATGTAAAGGAGTCATTGTAATTTCAAGATATTCCGAAAGTTCAAGATATTCCGTCATCGCGGTCATTAATTTTTTTTTATACAATTTAGAATGGCAAACAAGCTGACGGCCCACCTGATGGAAAGTGGTAACCGTCGCCTATAGATATGGGCAATACCATGGACATTACCGAGTAGGTATACTATTTCGTCCATTATACCCCCCATGCGTTGCCATTCCTGAGGACTCAGGTGTTATTCCTCCGTACCCAGTAATTTCACGCCATATCCCACCCGTCAAACCGAAACACAGCTATGCAAACACAACTGCTTCACGGTAGAAACACGAATGGGACAGAGGTACCCAAGCAATCGACTTTTGTACAAAGTCTCCCTCTAGTTAAATACATACTTAGTTTAAGTACAGTTATGGTTAATGATTAGTTTTTTTTAATTAATAAAATGTAAGCTGAATGGTTATATTCAAATAATCTGCCTTATTGTAAACCATTATGTGGACTATGGACACCTGTAACACTAGAGTTGTATTTGAGTGTTTTGTCGACTTTGAAGATATGCTTAGGTTTTTTTTTAATGGATAATAATGGAATGGTAACTCCGCCTGCGCTATTGGTTTACACTGATGATAGGTGAGGATGAAGCAAGTCAGCCCACCGTGACGAATCTAACAATAAATCAACCACGATGATTTCCAGGGAGAACCACGAGGAGGTCGACCTGACAGGGTATATTGCTAACAATGGGCTAATAATCCTCATTACTAAAAACATATATATCTATAGAATTGATTACTACGCCCTTTGTTAATACTCCCATACTCAGTCTCTATGTAACTATATCTAGAATAGAAATAGTTGGGGGAAAAGGGATTGTTAGTAATGAGGCCTAAGAGGCCCCATTGCTAGCAAAATACCCTACCGGTCGAACTCCACGCGGTTCCCACTGGAAACCATCGTGGTTAATTATTAATGAATTCGTCACGACGGACCAATTGACCTGTTTTATCGTCACCTTCACTGGTGCCCCGCCAGCGTATATCGATAGCGTAGATAGTGGGATATGACAATAAATAGTTCGCGCTATCGGTATACGCTGGCAGGTCACCAGTGAAGGATGATAGGTGATGATAGGTAACAATGAAAGCAGGTTAGTTAGCCCATCATGATGATAGCCCATCTAAAATTCAGCACGATGGTTTCCAGGGGAAACCACGTGAAGGTCGATTTAACAGAATATATTGCTAGCATTGGGACTGGTAGGCTGCATTACTGACAATCCCTCCCCCCCCCACCGCATTACAGGGCTTAGTAGCATGACGTATAATGCGTGTCGCAGTACATTTCTGTTCATGTCTATAGGCGAGCATTACTACTTTCATCAGGTGGTTTTATTATTTTTATTAGGTAAGCCGTCAATTGATATGTCATTCTAAGTTGCATAAAAAACCATGTAATATTTCAAAGTGACTAAACTCACTTGATTATACCTCTTACTTAAAATTCTCATCCTACCGTAAAGACTAACAAAATAATGTTTTGTTTGATAACAGGCAAGCAGACAAAGGAAATTTGCGGAATGTTAACACATCCGCGGTTATTTATGTTTGTACAGACAGACGGACTAATGTATATTTGATATTCGCGTGCCTACATATCCTTTGTGCCTCTGTTTGTTTATGAATCGTTTTAAAATGTAGAACCTTCCATTATTTTATCACCACAATCTTAATGGTGTGGCAGTTTAACATACTGTGGGTTCGATAACTGCACAGTACATATTATGTACTCATGATTTGTTTATTTTGGCTTTGACTCTTTTTTGTGGCTATTACATGATCCTGAACCGATTTTTACGATTCTTTTTGCAAAGAATAGTTGTAGTATTGGAGGGTATCAAGTTACAAATAATACACTATTGGAGGTAACTAAATATAAAATGTCAGACAGTGTAACCGACCAGTAAACTAGTAATGGTAACCTTGCATTTTTATTTCGATTTCTCTGGACATACAGTAAAATAGTATAAATATCTCCTGTAATAGTCACATATTAAATTTGTGACATTCTTAAATTTTTGTATAGGTATATGGATGGTAATTAAATAAAATCCATAAATAAATAAGATAAATTCAGATATTTAATCTAAATAGGACCTTTTAAAAAAATAAATTAAATGCATGGAAAATAGACATCTGAGAAAAATTATGAAGAATCCATAATTACATTGGTCTGGTGAAATCTATCTTTAAGGAAATACTGGATTTTTTATACAACTTAAAATGGCAAATAAGCTAACGGTCTACATAATGGAAGTAGTATCCATCGCTTAAAGAATGAACAGCACCATGGACAACCCAGATTGTAACAATCATGCATTGCCATTCCTAAGTCTTAAGGTTTTATGTTACCGTACTTTCACTGTCATATTTCACCCTTCAAACACACCATGCAAACATGTTAAATTCACTGCAGAACCACGAGTGAAGGAGAGGTAGAACTTTATTCTTTCGTCCCTCAGGTAATGCATACAAAGATGCAACCAAGACTTTATAAGCTTGCACTTTGTATCACGATTCATAAACACTTATCATTATTCAATACGCCTATACATTTTATGGAGATGTCACGACTGTCCATCATTCACGTTTATTTGATGAGCAGTGTCAATATTGAAGATTTATTGTACACGATCCTGTTACAAATCAACTTAGGTCTAATGTAGAACTAATTCTCAATCGCAACATTGTCCGCATCATATCAGCCTGTCCACTGCCTTCCCCATAAAGGGAGTTTTGCTAGTAGATGCCACGTTTCGGAGGCGGATTGCCAACCGTGGTTGGGCTTGGGGATGTTATCAAAAAGGATGGGTGGTCCAATCTATGCAGGGCACACGGCAGGAGGAATTGTCATTCCATTATCATCCATTAAAAAATATAAGTAAAAAAAAATACAAAAGAATAAAAAAGATAGGGTGAGTAGTGCAAGAAGTTTTCTTAAGTGTCGGCAATGTACACGTGATACTCTTGGCGTCCATACGATATGAGAACCGTTTATCAGACGTGCCGTAAGTGGTATGTTTGTTTTTCTTTTATGCAACGTAGAATGGCAAACAAGCTGACTGACTTCCTGGTGAAAAGTGTTAACTGTCACTTATAGAGAGTACCGAGGGTATAACAAAGTATACCGTGTCGCTCATGATACCCCCCATGTGTTGCCATTCTTGAGAACTAAGATGTTATGTCTCTGTACCCTGTAAATTCAATGCCATATCCCACCCTTTAAAATACACACATATATATAAACAGATTATAGACAGAGACACAGATATATAAACACAACTGTTTCATGGCAGAAATACGAATGGAAAAGAAGTACCTAAGCAGAGGACTTATGTACAAAATTTGCCTCTGGTTTGCTACCATCATGATATAAAAAGTTGCCGCGTGGACCCGAAATGGGTCAGCCCTTCCTTCCCTGTGGATATCTTAAGAGGCAACTAAGAGAACATAATAGTCGAGTCTCAACCTAACTGCGGTTGCCAAACCACCTGCTAAACATGGCAACTACTGGCAAAACCCTCTAATAGGGAGAAGTCAATATTCAGCAGTGGATTGCAATGGCCGATATGATTATTATCATGGTATAAAAAAGCCAGGTCGCCTAATTATATATATATATATATATATATATATATATATATATATATATATATATATATATATATATATATATATATATATATGTAATTTTTTATTTTGTCACTATCGTGGTATAAAAAAAGTAGGGATATTTAAATAGTAAGTGACGATATTATGTGATTTTTGTTATCTCTTGTCCAAGAATGTCAAAAGCGGGTTACCACTGGCGTTCTCACACATTTGACCATTTCTAGGTCACCACAATTGGCTTTTATTTCTACATCACTTTAATTTAATTGATTGATTCCAATGATGGGCATGAGTTAAAATTGCTTCGGTCTGCGAGTAAGTACTGGCGTCATTTTATCGAATGAAACATGAATACCTACTTATATGTATTTTCATTAGTTATAAAATAAATATAAAAAAGAGATGACAATTTAAGATTTTATTCAATTCTATTAATATCCTATGATAAATGAGAAAGTTTGTAACAATGTAACTCTTTAACGTAAAAACTACTAAGCGAATTTGAATGAAATTTAGTACACGAGTAGGTTATATCCTAAGTACTAAGATACTTTATGTGCCAATTCACAAATAAACAAACCGTGAGATACAGCTAGTAAAAAATAAAAATGTTTACCGATATAACAAGGATTTTAAAAAAATTTATCATTTTATATAATTGTGAAGGCAATATAATAGATAATATAAATACTAAACTAGTATTAATATCGTATAAATAATAAATTGAAATAATACAAATACGTACAATGTATAACGTTCTCTTTTTTGAAGTCGGTCGAAAAAATGGGAGTTGAATATCTATTTTTATCGAGTTATGTGTTTTAATAAAATATCTGTTATTACTAATGTAAATAATGACAATTAAATAAATTTATCTATTTAATTGGTTTTTCTACTTCTAAAATCTACGCGCTATTATGAAATATCAAGGAACCGTTTCATTTTAAACCGTCAAAAACTTACACCCTTCAGCGCAAAACCTTTCGAAAATAATATGAAGTTGTTCTAAAGGTTTCATTTACGATAAATTGCATACACTAACTGTGAATCGAATAGACTCCAGAAGAGAATCGAATAGTAACGTATAGTTTAAATCCATTTTAATCTCAAAGCAACTTGTGACAGCTTATTATGAGATTATGACTAATATACTATTAAACATAAGTATTAAAAAGACACAATACCTTAACCAGGTGTTTGTTGACCCACTTTGTGAACGTCTTCTTCTGTATGGCATCTCTTTCATCTGCAAAAAAAAAAAGAGATAAATAATAATATTAATATTCAAAAATTATAGTTGTTTGAGGTCAATGATATCTCTATCAATGTGGTGAAATTTTGATTTAATAATAACTGACGATATACACCATATGGTTTCGGTATAGAATGAACCACCCCTTCCTTTCCCATAGGTGTCGTAAGAGGCGACTAAGGGAACTTATTGGTAAAAAAATGGGTAGTAGCGTTCCTTTTTAAACATCCTCACAGCGTAACTGCGGTTGCTAATCCGCCTGTCACGCGTGGCACCTACTGACAAATTCTTCCAATGAAGAGAGGCCTATGTTCAGCATTGGACAGTTAACGGACGACATGGTAACATCTGATGCCTTAATAGTCGTCAAGAAGAATAACTCCAGTAACAGTAAGTCCAGTACGTAGAAGTATAATAAACCGAAAAAGCGATAGTAAATATTCATAAAACTGAGAAATTTTCTCTAAGATCCAAACTATGTTAATGCAGAATTTTTCCTTTTTCAATAAAAATTGTAAAAATTGATAATTGTACTTTATGCAACTGTATGTCACTTGTATTGTCTAATTAACATTTTTATGTTTGTGGTGTAATAAAGAATTATTATTAAAACTTGAAACTTAATATTATTTATCTACTTATCTTTACGCCAAGTACTTTGTGATGTAGGCAGAGATAACTGATTGATAAAGACCTTTATCTTAATATATAATACATTGATATGTATTTAAATAAACTTAATCAGAAGAACTTGAGTAAGAATTGTAAATATTTTTAATATTTTTTTTTTATTTGGTCTTTAAAAGAAAATCTATCGAAAAATCAATACAAACTTGAATACATACTCTTTTAAAATAGTAATTAAGAAATGTTTATATCATCTAACGATAACAAAATCAGAGAACTGCACTATAATAGTATTAAATATATTTAATAAGTAGTACTATATACTTAATAAGTAATAAATAGTAATATTCTATACTGGCTTTAAATAAAAAAAAAAAATTTCACTGACCGGGATAAAAAGTAGTTTATAATCTTCCCATACAAATTTGTATAGTGATTGTTTAAGCCGCTAAGGCACCATACGGTAACAAACAAACATACTCACATTCATAATATTAATTACGACTACTATAACAAGGAAAGGCTATAACTCAATAGAACCAGTTCCAATACCGAAGCAGTAGCTTAGTCAAATAAATTAAATTATAAAAATAAAACATTAAAACATAGGTTTTTAAATTTATATATTAATTGAACACACTTCAATTCTGAATAGGTTAACATAATTTATAACATTATTTGACATTTTAATGCATTAGGATGATTCTATAAATTGTTAGGTGAAAGATTAAATAAATGGTCGATAAATATTAAATCCACAAGATAAAACATGTTTGTGTGTTTGAATATATACTCGTTTTCTATTTTGTAGAATATGATCGAAAATATGTTTTTTTTTTATAGTTTTATATTTTATATATTTATATAACATTTTAAGTATTTCTTTTTATTTTATGTGTTTGCTTTTAATGAATTACTCAAGCTGTGCACATGATGTGATTGGATTATAACCTAGCCGAATCACAAATGTAACTATTGCTTAAGTTTTTTATGGTTGTGATCTGTTTTATGTGCCAATAAAATTAAATAAAAAAAAATAAATGTAATATCTGGAACTATTAAACTGGTTTTAAAAATTTTTACACTAATATCAACTCTATCAATATTTTTTTTAAATATTTATTGGTACTAAAGAGTATCTATCTATCTATCTATCAAACATCATTTCATAGTTAATCCTGTATAATATTATAAATGCAGAAAATTTTAAGGATGGATGGGTGTTTTTTTTTTTTTATACAACATAGAATGGCAAACAAGCTGACGGCCCACCTGGTGGTGGTGTTTGTTACTCTTCTACGCAAAAAGTACTGAACGGACTTGAATTAGGGGTGGGTAATTTTTTTTATACAACTTAGAATGGCAAACAAGCTGACGACCCACCTGATGGAAAGTGGTAACCGTCGCCTATAGACATGAGCAGTAACATGGAGATAACAGAGTATACTGTTTCGCCCATGATACCCCCCATGCGTTGCCATTCCTGAGGACTCAGGTGTTATTCCTCTGTACCCTATAAATTCACGCCATATCCCACCCTTTATACCGAAACACAGCCATGCAAACACAACTGCTTCACGGTAGAAACACGAATGGGACAGAGGTACCCAGTAACTTAGTACACAGGATATTTTATGTGTTATTTTACAGTGGTGAAGTCACGGGACACTGATAGCTTAAACTAGATTTCTCATAAAAATGTCGGTAACACAATAAAATAGGACAATAGATCTACGCGGTTAAGTCGTGAGAAATATAAAATAATGAAGCTAATCTTTATTTCTTCGGTTACTTATCCATAAACGTGGTACCAAACAGGCAAATACGATGTAATCGAGCCGTCGCCGTTAACTGCTAAGAATAATTAAAAAAAAAAAACTGCTATTCAAACCGTAGGAGAATGGGCTAAGGTATCGTGTAACCAACAATGCAATCGATTCGGAAACCTCGTTCTTTCAGAAGTAGGTTGAAAATACCGACGATGACTAGAATGATTGTTAATTTTACGTTTTAATAAAAACAAAGCAAAAAAGTACAAGTATTTGGAGTCAAGAGTTAAGTCCGCATGACCGGATTATGTTTTTTTTTCTTATGTGTGAAAATGGTATGGTAACCCCGCCTACGCTAACGGGATACGCTGGCGGAGCACCAGTGAAGGGTGATAGATGAGAATGAAAACAGGCCAGTTAGCCCATCATGATGAATTCATCAGGAATTAACCATGATAGTTTCCAGGGGGAATCGCGAGGAGGTCGACCTGGTTGGGTATATTGCTAGCAATAGGATTCTCAGTTTCCATTACTAACAATCCCTTTCCCCCCAACCGGATTATGTTCACTAACCGGGATAAAATAATATAACCTTAAGCTTTCTTCATCCCTTATAGTAGGGGAGCACGGGGGAATTGGCGCCACTTAAGCTAAAACTTAAATAACTTTTTGTATAAATCACTTTTTATTTTAATTTTTTCTTTTAATTATAATGTAACTAATCAGGCTTATCCTGTTAATATAGAAATTAAAAAAAACCTACTTAAAATGAAAATAATTCTTACTTAAAAAAAAAGTAACATTGGCTCCCATTGCCAAGAGTACGGGGTAATTAGAACCAGAAATAGGGGCAATAAGATCCATCGGGGTAATGGTAACCACATTAACAATATGTAACAAAATATTGTATAATTAAACATTTTCCTCATGTGTTTATAAACTAAACTTATTCTCATTCAAAATACAATTATATTATCTTTAGGAACATGCAAAATTATAGATAATTATATGTAATTAAAAACAATTATCGCCTCATACAAAAATCACAAACATAATTTTTGGCAGAATCACTACCTGAATATTGGGCATGTGTATATCATACATTGTGATTTTAATCATATTTTTTGATTTGAGATATAGGTCACATTCGCGATTGTATGCTTTTTTTAGAGGACCAAAAAATGTTATATCTAGAGGCTGCAAACGATGCGAGGAGTGTGGTGGTGTAGACAACATGTTGATGTAGTTAGCTTTGCAAAATTCATATGCTTCTAAAGTGGAGTGGCTGTTATTATTATCTAGAATAAGCAATATTTTGTTTTCCTTACTCGGTTTTACAAACATTTTGAAATGTTGCAACCATTTAAAAAATAGATTTTCATTTGTCCATCCATTTTTTGAACAATCGTAAATTACACCCGGAGGACCATCTTTCTCTAAAAGAGGAGAATGACGTTGTCTCGGATATATAAACATAGGAGGCACATAAACGCCAGAAGCACTCATTGCACAAACAACAGTGACTGTCTTTCCTCTCTCCCAAGAAGTGACAGTACCAACTCGTTTTTGACCTGTTTTTGCTAAAATTGTTCCTGGTTTCTGCACTGTAGACACTCCCGTCTCATCTACATTAAATATTTGGTGCGCTGCATCATTATTTTTTATCATTAGTTCCTCAAGATTTTTGGAAAATAATTCTACTTCTACTCTGTTAAATCCCTCAATTCTGTTAATACTAGTTGACTCAGGTTTGCGAACACTGATATTAGTATTTCTTTTCAAAAATCCTTTAAGCCAGTCTGGTCCCGCACATTTAAGTTCCTTATTAAAATTATGAGATATCTTCAACTGTTCAGCACACTCGTATGCTAATTTTCTAAATTTCATGGAGTCTAAGCCGTAAAAAAGATTCGACATGTGAATGAGATGATCAGCCAAAATTTGTTTTTGAGTTGGAGAAAATATTGGTTTCCTTCCGAGACGAGGATTGGTTTGTACTGCTCTGCGATACCTTTTTTGCAAAGTACTATATGGAATATTAAACCCTTGGGCAGCCTTATGCAGAGATATTCCATCTTCATTGACTCTCTTGATAGCACGGTATAGTAACCAGATTCCACTGATATTTATCCGTAATCCTATCTTGTTTTCAAGGCATCTGAAATAAAACTACAAGAAATGAAGTGGGTAATGAGAGCCATTCGACTCCCATTTCCCCAAATACTCATTTTTAGGTTTTCATATAATTGTCAAAATACAATTGCTTATTTACATAAATTAACTTTTTTATACGACACTCTAATGATAAATCTATAAGATAAAAGAAGCAATACTAATAATAAAATAAATTAAAAACTCACAATTTGTCCTTGAATGTTGTCAAAAATTAGATGAATAGCTTAAAAAACTGACGTGCTATTTATTTGTGTACTAAAAGTCAACTAAACGGTGACACAACGAGGCATATGCACCCCTCCTGCGTCCTTTTGTAATACGTTAAAACAAAACAGGGTCTAAATTGTCAAGAAGCATGTAAACTAGAGTAACTCCCATTACCCTGTGGCTCTGATTCCCCCGTGCTCCCCTACGTGTATATCA